AGTTTTTGTAAGTAGTTTGAAATTCGAGAAATCCTTAATATATTAAAGGGATAAAATAAAATACCGAAGATGAATTTTAAACAAATGTTGTTGGATTCTCAAGGTACCTTGGTAATAGTGCCGAAAATTGTTTGATTAATTTGAATCAAGTAATTCTTTCCACGTCTAAGTGGTATAAAGTTTTCAAGAGAATTTAAGCTTATTTGTTCGATGGTCAGCTCCTCTTCACATCGTTTAAAGCTTATTTTAAAATCTTGTACGATTTTGACTTCTCGCTTTTTGCTACCGAAAATTCTGATCTGAAAATTGCTTATTACTTCACAAGAAACGGCAATTTTTTACTTTCAATAATGATTGAACCAAATTGGTGACACTGGCGAAAACAGTGAATCCTTCCATTTTAATACCTGCAATGCTTTTGAGTTCCTATAAAAACCAGGCTGAAAAAACCTCAGACTTATTTCTTTTCACTCATTTTCTGTATCGAAAATAAATACTTGTAAATTCTTATGAAAAAAATATTTACTCCTCGTGAATCACTTCGACACTTTTCTAATAAGGTACAATCGAGTTTTTCTTGCAAATTATCACAGCTTTGTGATTGGATGTATAATCCCAAACGTCCTTTAATTTTCTTGCGCACAAAACTTTGTCCAATCATCTTCAATAACTCTAACTCATACTTTTAAGCTTCTAATAACTGTAAATTGAAATTAAAAAGTTTTTATTCGTAAAACAAAATTTAATCACTTCACTGAAAAATGTTTTAGAAATTGAAAGTAAAATTTTTTAATTTAGGATAACTTATTACTATAATAATAGTAATGAGAAGAACGAGCCATATTTTTAGTTTTATATATTTTCTTACAGCCAGTTTTTCACGAGCTGAATAAGTATAAATTATTGCTGAAAAATTTAATATCAGAATTTTGAAGTCAATTTCAAGTTTGTCGGTGCAGTAGAAAAGCTGTTGCCCAGTAAAAAACTAGTATCATAGTTATGATGATACTGAGATTATGATTATAATTCATGATACTAGAATTTATGATTATAATACGAAAATTGACATGAAAAGTTTATTTTCAACGCCATAATCTCAGTATCATTGACTTCAAAATGAATGTGTTCTTTCGAGACACAAACTACGATGTTCTTAGTAATATTGATTGTAATTACTACTATGCAAGTAGATCAAATTACCTTATTGATGAGAAATTTTCGCAAATTCCTCCAGTAAGTATCAGTAATCATCAGTGTAGAATGAACAGGAATGCCAGTAGTGAAATATGGATCTGAGCTGAGATACTTGTCAAATGTCATTATTACTTCGTTCATGTAATCTTGATTTTCCGAAACATTCAACGACAAAGTAATCTGTATTCATAGGTTTTGTAATCATATTCATATTAGTCGAATTCAGATTACTATCGGTAAATTAACCAATTTCGATTTCCAAAGTCAAAAAATAGTAAATGATAGAGTATATTGTATGTAGAGATTAAATTTATTTATTAAAGTCAATATTGTAGTCATTATTTTGAATCACAGAATTTATTAACTTTGCTAGCATCTGTGGATACGACTTTTGTAGAAATTTTTTTCAGTATAGCTTTAATTTTAGGCAAAGGAAACTTTGGATTAGAATTCAATTAACTAATAAAAAATTATTTTTTGTAATTTGACAAAGACTTGTACGAAACTTACTTTTATTTATTTTGGACACGTAAATCTGTTAAAGCATTTCAAGATAACTTTAGACGTATATACTTAAAACTTACTTTATAAATGTGAAATTTTAATTACCTTTTTCCATGCGTCAATTTTAAAAAATGACAAGTAAGCATGGCGGAATCGATAACTTTCCAATTTTTTACTGTAATTTTAGGCATAAAAACTTTGATTCAGGGTACTGACTGTAAAAAGTACACAAATTCACTGTTGATTTATGTTATTAAAACTGTTTTTACTTATTCAAACAGATTTCTATTCTATTTTTTGTATTTTACTAAAGCCTTATGAGAAGTGAAGCTCTCTTCTGAACTAATTATGCATACTTATTAGCTCAAAAATTATGAAAAACAATGGTATTTTTATGTGCTAAATTGCTTCTGATCAGCAAATAATAAAATGTACATTTAATAAATTTCATCTAAAATTGTGTAAAAAATTGTTTGTAAGTGAAAAAATCGGTTAATTTTTAATGAATGAAATAAAATTGTAGACAAAATGCATTGCATACCACTCATTCCGATCAAGGGCATATTCATGACCGCACGTTTTTTGACTACAGCAACAAGCAGTACAGCACGACCACGGTTCATAGCCAATGTCTATTTTTAAATTATACTGTGTTGCTAAAATTGGTTGGAAATACTTTGGTATTGACTGATAATCTTGAATACGATAGCGATAATCCAATTTACCGTAATCATCTTGCTGACGCTTAAATATTAGCTTCAAATGAGCTGTTTTTTGAGTGAACAATTTTTCTTCAACAAATTATCAATATTATTGCTATTATTATCCAAAAATATTAAAGTTAACCATAAAAAGCAAGCGATAAAACGACAAAGAATACATTTTGCAATAACAAAAAGAAAATAAATTTACATAACTATTCTCATTTTAAATTTCATTTCGATTAATTAATTAAATAATTTTCAGTAACTGAAGTTATCTTCTGTAATGAATATGGATATACTTCCATATTTTAATCAACTGTTTTTGTTAGCAATCTGTTCACATTGATCTACTTGTGATTCAGTAAAAACTGACTAAAAATAAAAAATATAAAAATTTTCGCTCTCAAAGCATTTGCGATTTTATTTACTTAAAGTATTTTATTTCAATTCGCTTCGATAAATGCAATGCATAGTTAATTTTGCGGTTTTACCTCTCCCAAATTTTCATACTTAATCGTACATTTCTTGATGTCATCATCAGAGAAGTAACTGAATAAGCATTCTGGTTTTTCATCAATTGGATCTTCTACAAGCGTATCAACGTTAACCACAATATCCGTTTCAACCAACTTGCCATCTACTTGCTAAATCATTTTTACTGAACTCTTTGCTAATTGTCTTAATTTCTGAAAGTTCTACGATTTGATATAAATTTCTGTAGTTATATCAAAATTTTTTTTCTAATTCAGACCTGTCCACAAATAAGTGTCATACTATTGAAGTGTGGATAGTACTGTCGGAGTTGTCCAGGATCTGGATTAACTCGAAGTCGCCCATCAGGAATCGGCAAAGCTACTTTCAAATTATCCCTTTAAAAACCTTTCAAAAGATTTAATTCAGATTAAGAAAAATGAGAAATCTAGAATTTTTACATATTTCACTCATTTTGCTCAATTAATTTAATGATTTCTAGTAAATTCTTAATCCTTCATATGTAAATTGCTACCATCAAAACATCCACTTAGCATAAATAAATATGGTCAATACATTTTTAATATCTAAATAAATAACATATAAATATTTGTTCAGCGTGAAAGTGCCTCAATTTGCAAACAATCTGATATCTAATCCATTCACTAAACATTAAATCATCTTATCACTGCGTATTTACTACAATAATAGTTAATATATAATGATGAATAAGATATTAAAATTGAGAAACCACTTGGATATTCTGTGAACATATGAATGAAGTACTTCACGCAGTTTACTTTTTGTAATGATTATACGTCAATATTATATTAAGAAAGATTTGCATATAAACTTCACTTCCTTTTAAACTGTCACTATGGTCAAATTTATTAGCCATGTATTTTGCTCTCACAAATATTGTTCACACAGATGTTATATTTAAGCAAAAAATTAATTTAGTTGAAGCTCGCAAAATAAAGTACAGTTTAATTTTAATGATGCTAACAAACAATGAAATATTTTTTATTTTCGACTATGCTCGGGAAATAATACAAAATTATAGTAACCCTGTAGTCACCATACGATCCCACCAGCGATCAGCGAGAAATGGACCACGATATGCGGTTCGTTTATCTTCGCCTTTTGGATCAGTAAGTTCTGAAATTATACTTTTTTTCTCATATTAATTTTACTTAAAAATGACATATGTATAATTAATTTCTCAACTGATTATTACGAATTAAAACTTTTGTCTTTTAAGATTTGAAATTCAAAATAATAACTGCAATAAGATTTAAAAAGAATTACAATTCTGATATCAAAACAAAAGCATAAAGTTCAGTGAGAAATTGGTAGATCTAAAATTATATCAGTACATATCAGAATTGAATTAGATCAGTTTTGAAAAAAAGAAAATGCAAACTTTTTGTAGCGAAATTGTAAACAAACGCAGCGAACGGAATTCGATGATAATTTCGATTGTAATGAGGCGTTGAGCGTTTTGCGTGTACAATCCTTGTTGTGCTCTTAGGTACAGACGAGCTCGGCTTCTTATTTTCCGAAAAACTGGTCGAATTCAAGTTTGTTTCATTTGCAAATTGTCTTGAAGTAACAGTTGCGCTTGTTTTTTGTTTTTTTCTTTCTTCATATTCCTCAGTTAGAACGTTAAATTCATACGCAACAAAAGATTCAATGCGATCTTGAAGCGAAATCTTTGCGAAAACATCTCTGAAAGTTGATAGAAAATTACTAATCACATATATCTGTTATATTATTAAAAATGACTATTAATAATAAAAATAATTCCCTGCAATACATCTAATATGCAAATGAATCCGATTTTCAGTTCTCAGTAGTAAAACCTCAATAATAATTCAATTTCTCGTGTATTCTAACGGAAAAATATGACACGACAAGATAATTTTCTTTTTCTCAGAAGTTAACAAATGATTACAAAACAACCATGGTAGTATAACAGCTATGACAGTTTTTCCGAACTTAAAGTAATAATTTAAAAAGTCTTTTTCAAGACTTCAACGGGTAGTAATGGTTTCTTAACATCAGTATTTGTGTGCTTTTTTTCTCGGTCATAATGGAATACCTTAGCTGGGATACTTCAAAAATGAATTATAACATTCTGGACGAGATGATTAATTAGATACTGATTTCTCTTTTACTGCATTACAACTTTACAACTTTTGAATTGCAATATATTACAATTTATTTTAAAAAAATTATTGGTAAAAGCATATGTGATTTATTGATCGTGAATTTTACCAAATTTGTTCCATACATAATTTTTAATTGATTAAATCAATAAAAATTGAAAAATATTTGGATTTTGGTAATAATATAAATGCTTGAATGAACTGAAAACCTGCGAGGAAGAAGGTAAAAATTATTGACAACATTATTTGATGCTGGCCTTCTCAAACATGACATGCATGGAATCTAAAAAACACTTAAGTCTCAATGTTTCAGAAATTTAATGCTGAATAAAAGTTAACTAAAGTAATGGAATTTCTGAATACGAGAATATAACAGCGCTGATAAAATGGAAATTTCAGAAGGCAAAACTTTTCTTGATGGAATCTGAAGCAAAAAATTATCGAACTAAGAAGTACCAATTTGTCTTCTGAATCTAATCTATCAAAAAAGTATGCGAAAGTAAGAAATGAAAAAGTTTACTTCAAAAGGCATATTTCTCTCATGCATAATTGAAAAAATTCGTTGATTGCCAAAAATGAAAGGTGCTGTAGTGATAGCACAACTGAAATATTCACTGAGTAATGTACTCCAATAATTTATTGAACGAAATCAATTTTTTGGACTATAAAATAAGTATTGTTGTAAGCATGAAAACACACTTATAACAATACTTATTAACTGTATAGTATAAAATTAGTATAGTACTGAATTTGAAGTAATTAAGTAAAAGATCAGTATAGTACTGAATTAAAGTAATTAAGTGTAATATCAGTACAGTACTGAATTTGAAGTAATTTTAAAGTGAAAACAGAGAGAATTTTTTAAATAAAGTAATAAAGAATGCATACACGTTCTTTGGATAGACGAGACTTTTGAAGTAATTACGCTTATGAATAAGATAGGATGCGCGGTGTTGTTCATTTGCTAACTTCTCCTTGTAAAGCTGAATGCATACTTATTTCTTTCAGTTTTACAATGAATATTCAAAGAATCAAATATTTGCTTCTTTTTTTATTTATCAAAAAAATATTGTTAAGTAAATGAAAACATTGCAGCTGTATGACTTGCACATGATAACTACAAAGTACTTCTACAAATTTTCAACCGTTTATTTAAAAAAAGATACATTGATGTAGTCAGGAACTAAAGTATCATTGTCTCCTATAGGTAGATAGAAATTTTTGAGCGCTTGATTAATCCGAAACCATCCAAGTGGTAGCATCACTTCGTAGTGTTCAGGAAAACTCCTGCATGTTACGAATTATTACGACTACTTTTTATTATTATCAGTTTCTAATAGCAAAAATGCAAAGCGAAATAATCAAGATTTATTTAGCACACTTTTAAGTCCATTTCACTATAAGCTGAAAATATGAAGTAAAATATCAGTACGGTTATTTATATACTTAAAATCCCCAAATTTAGTACGAATTCATTTCTTATTATTAATTACATAATTAAGCTAAATTCTTTATTGAAAAAGTATTCAAGCAAACATTTCTGATAGTTCTTTTACGACAGTCGCATCAATGCCTTTTTCATTAGCTGGGAAACAGTCGCTCAGGTATTGGCGAACGATTGATGTCCATGGTAGCTCAAATCGAAATTTAGGTAGCAACTCTTCAAGTTTAACTGAGTCATTCATCAACAACAAACAAGAATTAATCAGTGACATGAACGCAACTTTCTTCGTTGTTACTTCATAAAATTATCACAAAAGTGATCATTTCGGAAAGAAATTTCAATTACTGTACTATCATCAGGCCTTTTAAAATA